CTGTACAGTGTGCAAATTTAGAACTTGGAACAATGCTGAGGGCACAAACCGCAGCTCCAGGTTTTAGCCACCCTGGAATCCAGGGGCACAGGAAGTCCGGAGACGTGGGTGTCTTTGAGGCAGCAGGGAAGGGTCAGGAAAGCAGTGACACAGTTTTCTGGCTGTAAGGGACCTCTCGGTTCAGACCCTGACTTTTTCTGTTGAAGAAATGGAGGACCGCAGAATCAAAGTGCATGACCCAAGGTCACACAGCTAGTTCCAGCCAAAGCTGACACCAAGTCCTAGGTCTCTCTGATTCCCAGCCCAGGGCTGTCTTTAATAATGATGAACTGGTCCACTTTACATAGCTTTCGAAGAGCATTTCATCTGTTCCTCCCCACAGCGTCGTAATAGGAGAATTGGTTTGACTCCATCAAGGGGACTCAGCAGACAGCATAGGTCCTCTCAAACCGACCTGCACTCAATCTGCAAACCTTCCCTCTCAGTTCGCACGTGTTTATGTTTATTCTTCCGTACCTTTGTATTCCGCTCAGGCTGAGCCAAGTTCAGAATTTGTTTTCCACTCGGCGGGTGGTTTTGGTTTCTGATGGGAATCCCACACTCTCCAACGCTTCCTTGACGTTACTGTCGCGTCGCACCCCGAGGCTGCTCCCGTGCGCTGTGACCGGCGGGGGCCGACTCGATGACCGTGGAGCCCGCCACCTCATCTGTTTCTGCGCTCATCTGTCCACCCCTGTTGGTTGTTGCTTTTGCCATTGCTCGGCCATAAAGTGTCAGAGAAGAATACAGGCTTTGGGTGGCATATATGTTGGTCTGAACCTGGCTCTGCCACTCACACGTGACCTGTGTGTTCTCACAGGTACAAAATAGAAGGAAACTACAGCGGATGTGCAACGTTTTTTAAGGTGTCATGCTGGTTAAGAAAGAGTATGACAATGGCCGAGTTCCTGGCACACAGTAGGTATTCAACGACAAACGCTGCCTTCCCTCTGGGAGACCACACGAGAAGGCCGCGGGGCATGGGCCGCGCTCTGTTTCTTCAGCTAATGCTTCAGGTCCTTCACGTTACAGAGCAGTAAAGGGGGGCCCACCCTGTGTCGGCCTGCAGACCAGTGGCCTTGATGCCCACTGAACTGGGTGTGAGAGGGGGAACGTGCATGGCAGGAATCCACCTCCATTACATCACGTCTGAGGAGCTCTCCCAGCTCGGAGACCATAGGACGCCACTCGTGTTGACTGTGAACACCTTCTAGAAAAGCCTGAGAATAATCGCGGCGCAGGGGCGGACTGGGGAGAGTTGGCAAGCTCCGTACGGTTCGCGGAAGAAGGTTGCATTTGTTTCCTCGCTATCACGTGCCAGGTGCTTCCTACCGCGTGCTTGCGAAACACTGTCCCGGCAGAACCCTGCAAGTGTGTAATTATTGTCCCCTTTTCCTCAGGACACAGTTAAGGCTAAACTTGTCGTAGTGGCCTGTGTAAGGTGTGCTGCTCGTTTTGTGGTGGAGAGAAATGTGAGTCCAGGTTTTGCGGCCCATGATGCCCCTTCTGAAGGCTCGGCCCAGCGACATGCAGTGGGACTCACATGGAAGGGTGGATGAGAGGGTCCGGGCAAAGCATGGGGGTCCCTGCACCTGAGCGCATTAGAGATGGCTTCAGAGAGCCACCAGAAGGCCACTTGCATCCCCCTTCAGGGATTTGTTTGGGATGACAAGCTCCGTGGGGAGACACTAGTGGGCAAGGGGATTGAGGTCAAGGCCAGGCATCCTGATTGGAGGGCATGGTGCGATGATGCTCCGAGTGGGTGTGGCTGAGGTTCCACGAGCTGCACCTCCCTGACCAGAGCAAGTCCTGATAGTAAATACTGAGCGGGTGGTGCTCAGATTTACAGTCCTCAAGACTTAGAAACATCCCCAACTTATCTCTTTATACAGAATTTCGGAAAAGTCATATTCTCACTTTATATTTTTACTTCTCAAATAACCTATTAAAATATTTTTTCTAATACATTTGAAATTGTTAATTTTAACTTTAAAATCTTGGAAACTATAAATGATGACTTTGGAAAAATCTGGGTCACTGTAACTGAATGTTTTACTCTGTGAATTTGGTGATCAGTGTGGGAACAACTTTGGGATGAGTCTAGTTACATCCAAACCACTCACTTAAACCATCGCCGATCTCCTTGCAGCCCGAGTGAGTAATGAACCACACCTGACTTAAGGAGAGCTTCACTCTTGGTTTGCAGAGGTTGGCTGCAGACCAAAGAGTGGCCTGAAACTCGGGGTCCGAGGGGTGTTGTCTCTAGATGAACCATATCTCCCCAGCTTCCTCATTAGCCCTGGGTGGATGCATTCATAGTTTTCTCTTCCAAGGGAAAAAGTGGTTCAAAAACCAAAGTAAAAGAACAAACAAACAAACAAACAAACAAAAACATCTATTTTCCTTGTGTCTTTCTTTTGTTTCCATTCTATCAAATACCATCTGGAAACCATGGAGGGATATATTGCGTGTGATGTGTGATGTGTGATGTGTGATGTGTGATGTGCTCATTGTCATCATTGGGATGAAGAGAAGGTTTAAAGCACAGTAAAAGGAAATTATGGGATGAGCCAGGGAATTTTAACAAGCTAATGACTGGACCATCAGCCATTCCGGGACACTCCCCAGAATTGTGTGTGCACTCAGCTGCTGGTGCTTTAATATTTGGTGGATTCTAGGATTTTTGTATGTATGCTGCTGAAAATCCATAAAGATACCATAGTAATTAAAGTCAGGCTGGATGTATCATTCCTATAGAGTTTTTACAGCAAGTGGCTATGTTATAGGCTGTTGGCCTAGGGATGAATCTGTGCTAGCTCTATAATTTACATGCATGCTTCCAAGTTTATATTATTTTAACCCAAGTCACTCCTGGGGATCGTAAGGAAAACAAGTGATGGTTTCTGATACCACCATGCTATCTTATTGTGTCATTTGTCCTCAGCTAGAAAGAGCTTTTCTTTCCCAAATGTACCTCTAAAGGGTTTGACAATAAACACCCACAAATTTCTTAGAACATTTCTGTTTTATAATGGTGACTGGAAATCATAAGGCAAGCAATCTCTGGTTGTCCCTGTGGCATACCTTCATTTAGGAGGACCTGGGCCTCTGCGTCCCTCTTTGAAGGATCACGTCCTCCTTGGGCTTTTGGCGTGTGCACCCCGGGATGTTTGGGGTTGCGCCTGCAGAGCGCTGTGATGATTAGTTCTCCGTGTTCTTGGGAGGCGTTGAAGTCAGCTGCTGCCCTGCTGCTGAGCTGCTGAGTGCAGCATCTCATCGACAGAATTTCGTGATGCGTCTGCACTGAGGCTCCGGTGCTGTTTCTGGGTGAGGTCAGCACTTCTAGAACCAGTGTCGACCAAGTTATCTGCTTGTCGGCCCTTCGCAGGGTGCTCTGCGCGCGTCTGCTTCCCGCACACCCTGCGCCCCTAGTTCTCCGCCGGTGGTGACTGCTAATGTGCCTTATGGGTGCTTATTGTTCAGTGATTTAGAAACTGAAATGTCGCGAAACAGGTTTTCGCGTGTGTACCGTCGATGATGTAAACCAGAGAGCTTCCTGCAAAAAAAGGTATGAAGGGTTCTTTAAAGACGATGGCGTTGATTGGTCTCAAACTGCTTGATAGGTTTTGTTTTTCTTGGGTCATTCCAGATTTAAACGGATTTCTCACTATTCATTAGGAAGAATCGTATAGTTTTTCCTACTTTTATTTGAATAACTGCTCCTTCAATTAAATTCCTGAAAACTTGTATGTACCGTGGGGAAACAGTTTCATTAGGACAATGTGATAATCACGTTGGATTAGAAGTGATCACTGCCCCCTGGTAGAGGCCGATTTTGTACCAGAAGCACTGGGGTCAGTGGAAGAATCGATGTTTCCGTTGCCACGTGGGTGGGAGGTGACTTTCCTCAGTCTGGACTTTCCTGGTAGCAGGTTTACTTTGCTGGTGCCTGTGACGTCAGCATCTCCTTCCCACCACATCCCAGGCCACTGTGTAAGTTTCACATTGCTTTGGACCTTGTCTTCATCTGTACACGGTCAGTACCTTTCTCTCCTGCCGAAGGTGAGGTGTCAGTGAGAATATGAACGGAAAAGGTCAGGCACAGCGGCCAGCACTTATCTGTCCCTTATCTATCACCGTTAGTTCCCATTTCCTCTCTAAAACAGTCCGTGTGACCGTGCTTGAGGCCAACAGCAAGCTGCCTCCCCCAGGACGCTCTCTCCATCTGGGACGCACTCTGTGGGTGTACAGTCACAGGTGTACACACCCAAACGCTGTCTCATTATTCACCCCGGAGTTTGAAATTCTCCATTGGTGGTCTAGCCTTTGGGTGACGGACTAAGATCGCAGGAAGAATGACCAGTCGTCAGTTCCCTCTGGGGGACTGACCCTGCGTGCCCCGTTGAGGTCAGACTTGGCCATATTAGCTGTGTTAGCCAATGGCACGGGAAGGAAGTAATGTGTCACTTCCAGATAAAGCCTGGTGAGCCCCTCTGTGCTGTGCCACGCTCCTTCCTGCCGCCAGCCAGCACACCAGACACCAGCAGTGCCCACCCGGCCCACAGCGAGGCGTGCCTTGAACAGCAGAGATTCCTTTCCCCATGGGCTCACACGGGGCCGGCAGTGTGCGTGATGATCCTCTGCAGTCGTTGACCCTGAGATCTGGGGGCTGTTGGTGAGCACAGCACGGCCTAGTGAGGTGGATGAAGATGCATGATGGTTTGTAGGCCTTTATGATAATGCATTCAAGTCATCCCGGGGGGAGGGTCCCTGTCGGCCTCCACCACGGATCCCCTGGAATGGGACCGGATGAGAAGATCCAGAGAGGAACAATGGGTGTGGACGTGACACAGGAAAGGGCTATAAAGGGCAGAGGAGCTGACAGGAAATAGGAGAGGCTGTCCAAAGCAGACTGCATGCTCCTTCCATGGCCCCGCGCCAGCTCCGCGGGAGCCCCAAGGATGGAGGCTGCCCCAGAGACAGAGCTGCCCCGAGAAAGAGCTGCCCCGAGGGCGGAGGCTACCCCAGAGACAGAGCTGCCCCAAGCAGAGCTGCCCTGGAGACAGAGCTGCCCTGGAGACAGAGCTGCCCCGAGGGCGGAGGCTGCCCCGGAGACAGAGCTGCCCCCGAGACAGAGCTGCCCCGAGGGCGGAGGCTGCCCCGGAGACAGAGCTGCCCTGGAGACAGAGCTGCCCGAGGGCGGAGGCTGCCCCGTGGACAGAGCTGCCCCGAGGGCGGAGGCTGCCCCGGGGACAGAGCTGCCCTGGAGACAGAGCTGCCCCGAGGGCGGAGGCTGCCCCGAGGGCGGAGGCTGCCCCGAGACAGAGCTGCCCGAGGGCAGAGGCTGCCCCGGAGACAGAGCTGCCCCGAGGGCGGAGGCTGCCCCGGGGACAGAGCTGCCCCGAGACAGAGCTGCCCTGGAGACAGAGCTGCCCCGGAGACAGAGCTGCCCGAGGGCGGAGGCTGCCCCGGAGACAGAGCTGCCCCGAGACAGAGCTGCCCTGGAGACAGAGCTGCCCCGAGGGCGGAGGCTGCCCCGGAGACAGAGCTGCCCCGAGACAGAGCTACCCTGGAGACAGAGCTGCCCTGGAGACAGAGCTGCCCTGGAGACAGAGCTGCCCGAGGGCAGAGGCTGCCCCGGAGACAGAGCTGCCCGAGGGCGGAGGCTGCCCCGAGACAGAGCTGCCCCCGAGACAGAGCTGCCCCGAGGGCGGAGGCTGCCCCGGAGACAGAGCTGCCCTGGAGACAGAGCTGCCCGAGGGCGGAGGCTGCCCCGTGGACAGAGCTGCCCCGAGGGCGGAGGCTGCCCCGGGGACAGAGCTGCCCTGGAGACAGAGCTGCCCTGGAGACAGAGCTGCCCCGAGGGCGGAGGCTGCCCCGAGACAGAGCTGCCCGAGGGCAGAGGCTGCCCCGGAGACAGAGCTGCCCCGAGGGCGGAGGCTGCCCCAGAGACAGAGCTGCCCCGAGACAGAGCTGCCCTGGAGACAGAGCTGCCCCGGAGACAGAGCTGCCCGAGGGCGGAGGCTGCCCCGGAGACAGAGCTGCCCCGAGACAGAGCTGCCCTGGAGACAGAGCTGCCCCGAGGGCGGAGGCTGCCCCGGAGACAGAGCTGCCCCGAGACAGAGCTACCCTGGAGACAGAGCTGCCCTGGAGACAGAGCTGCCCTGGAGACAGAGCTGCCCGAGGGCAGAGGCTGCCCCGGAGACAGAGCTGCCCGAGGGCGGAGGCTGCCCCGAGACAGAGCTGCCCGAGGGCAGAGGCTGCCCCGGAGACAGAGCTGCCCGAGGGCGGAGGCTGCCCCGGGGACAGAGCTGTCTCAGGGACCAGGAGCACAGACTTCACAGGGCCCTGCTGGGGCTGCGGAAATACTCTGAGGGGTTAACACCGAGTCTGAATGAAAGCAAAGTCTTAGTCCTGTGGTTCTCAGACGTTAGCCTGGTAGTCACCCAGCGGGGTTGTTCAAACCCAGACCATGGGGCCTTGGCTCCAGAGCGTCCAGCTCAGGGGGTCTGATGGTGCTGGCCCAGAGACCACCCTTGGAGAATCACTGCCTTAGTCCCACCAGGTAAATCAGGGGTCCCCTCCTTACGGCGAGGAAAGGAGATGACTGAGGGAAGGGTGCCTTGTCACTGTCACTGTTCTCCAGGTGACTCCTGGCCGAGTGGAAGCGACAGAAGACACAGTGAAGGGCATATGCCTGGGTTGCAGGTTCAATCCCCGGACCAGATCAGGGTCATGTGGGAGGCCACCAATTGACGTGTCTTTCTCACGGCGATGTTTCTCTCTCCCTCCCTTCCTCTCTTCCACCCTACCTAAAAATAAACAAACAGATAAAAGTGTGATGAGGGTAATGAGTAGACAACTGGGTCCAACTTCAGAAACGTTGGGCACAACGACCCAGAGCGCCAAGGACAGTGTCTTCTCCAATCCGTGGGCCACAGGGCACACGGCGCCCCAGAGTGGAGGGCACCCAAAGCCACGTTGTCACGGAGCCCGAGGAAGGATCTGGAATCTGAATACCAAGAAATCTGTGTAAACACAGGCGAGATGAAATGAACTCTCCACTCCGGAAGGGTAGAAATACCATGCGAGTTTCTCTCTCGGTTCGGCAAGGAAAGAGAGCACAGAATCTGTGAAAATATTTAGGTAGCTGACGTGGTCAATGCAGGATTGTACTTTTTTCATTTGTGGTTTGGGAACCAGCAAGAAAAAGAAATCTAAGCTCTCGCAGCCATGAAGAGGCACACAGAAACAGGAAATGAACCGCCTATTAAAAATACAGAATTATGTCAAAATAACTTAAAAATGGTGAAGCTAATTCAGAGTTTCACAAGACAAAGCTAACTTTGGAATATTCTGTATGCAGTGATCTAAAAAATTACGCAGCTTCTTTTACAAAGGATGGCATGACTACACTTATATTTGGCTACGAAGCACAAGTATTCTTGTGGGAATGACAAGACTATGGCTGATAAAGTTCTTACATTTGAACCGAAACTAACGATCTCCACAGGTGAAGAGGACATGTGCCCGTCTTCTTCAAACAGCACCTCCCGTGTCTGTGTCCCCTCTGAGTCTCACGATGTTTTCCCAGCAGTGGATTTCCACAAACCGAATGGAACTGATCACTGGAATGGGCTTCTGTTCCAGTACAGCGTAAAGGGGACTGCATGGGAATGAACCGAGCCAACGCTCTGGCTGGGCACAGAAACGCTTGCGGGAAGGCGTGTTCTAACGTTCTTTGCAGAGAACTAAAGAGACTCCGCATAGTGACAACTCATGGATGCAACAGCTCAGCAGGATGACAAGCACAGTGCAGCAGACCAACCGAGGGGCAATTTCCCTTTAAAACCGTGCGTCTCCTAGATGGGGACAGACAGCTGAGGGTGCCAGGGTCCAGCCAGCTACCGAGTGCAGGGAGAGTCACGGCCTTTGGGCTGCCCCTTTCCAGAGGTGGTCGATGAAACTCACCTGTTCGCTCCCTGGCCTTTTAGGGAGGAAATTGAAATTTCATAAAACTCCATGGCCTACTGATGAGAAAAAAAGAAAAACAGGACAAATAACCGGATTTGTAGGTTTCAGACCTGATAAATAAGGATTGTGCAAGGTTGCATTATGGCTTCCGTGGCCCCAGGTAAGGACCACTTCATTCACACACGCCCACTCAAAACTATGAAAAATTATATTTTACAATGCACTGATATAAAGAAAAAATAATGATGGGTTCATTGCTATCATATTCATTTTTCTTCTGCTTTTAAAATAAAATGAGAACAACTTCGAAGACGCCTAAGTGTATGGTGGCCCCTAGGCATTGCACATACTGTAACCACACCCCCAGACCATGTTTGGCTGCAAATTAAAAAAAAAGGAATCCTCACTCACACCTGGCTTATTAGCACATGGTCTGCACATAGCAGAGTGAGAGAGACGACGCAGAACCCAGATACGTGTATGAGCCCAGCCACAGCTAGCCTCGATCAGCAAAATCAGTTGGCATAAGAGTGATCAATATTATTTTACGCCACTGAGTTTGGGGCCGGTTTGTTGTGTAGTGTTGCTAACTGACCTAGACTGCCTTCGCAGCTGTTGTGTGGAATTTGGAGTTCTTCGTTTGTCAGGATGCAACGTGAAGCCATTGGACAGTTTTCAGTGGGGAGCCGTAAGGTCCGATGACTTCTGACAAAGTTCACTCTGGCTGTGGAGGAGAGATGAGAGGGAATCCAGGGGACAGGAAGGCAGTAGGAGGCTGACTGATCATCCAGATGAGGACGATGGCGTGGTGGCGGTTAGGCTGGGGTGGGGGTGGGGTGGGTGGGCGTGGAAAGGAATGGGAGAAGCAAACTGTTCGAATTCTGTTCTGGCTCCTGCACAGGACGGGCAAGACATAGGGATCTGTAAGACCGTGCTGGGCCTTAACTAAAAGAATTTGAGGTAGATTGTTCCTGGAGACAGGAGTGGTGAGTCCATTAGTGGCTTCTCTGATCCCATCCAGAAAATCTGCAAAATGCTCCTATACTCCCCAAGGGCCAGATTGAACTTTTTAAATCTGTTTGTGGGAACCAAAGATGATGGCAGAAGCAGATGGCTGTGCAGACAGGGTCACATTTTAACAGTGGTCACTGAGCACTCGGAGCTCGTCTGGTCCGCGCCCTCCTCGGGAGGCTCCATCCATCTCTCTGCCTTCTCCCCGTGTCCAGAAGTTGCAACCATTTCACTTTCCTGCGAGGGTGTTGACTTTCAGAAGAAGCGAGACACCTTGAAGGCGCTGCTTGGTTATCTATAGTTCAGTCAAAGAAACGCTCCAACATAATGATTTCACTTGGCCATATCACACAATTCCAACATGCCATTTCTTTATGAAATTCAAAGAAACCTTTCACAAATGGATCCCAGATTCATTTCCTAGAAGCACACAGGTTACCAACAGCTTTCTCTCTCTGAGGAGTGATTGAGGTCTAATGTGATGAGCCATCTTCTTAAACACATTTGAGGCAAATTTGAAAAAAGCTTTAAAACTCCCTAACGCTTAGTGTAGGAGGCTCTAATATAGCAGGAATATATTATATACATTTGAAATCCATACGCTTTCCAATAACCAGGAGAGATACTGACCTTTCCTAAGTGATTTTTCATATTTTCCTTGCTTATGAACATTGATATGAGATATTAAAAATAAAGCCAGGTAATGCATTTCATTTACCAGAATCACTTGAAAATATGATTTTCTTGAGAGAGGTTTTACTTAATTGGATGTCATTCATTGGTTAAAAGAAAATTAAGCTGTCCAGAGTAGTATATGAAAATGAAATCTACATGTGGTTGAGGCAGAGAAATAAAGTTTCTGAAGAAAACCAGTGACAGTCTCTGAACAATAAATGTAAAGTTATTTCCAGTTTTATTATATTTTGGTATGTCTTGTACTTGGCCTTTATGTTCAGAATTACTTATATTTCATTGTAATACTAATGTTAGTTTGAGATTGAGTGATATTTACATTTGTTGGTACAAATGGGAATAGATGTATTTATTTTGGGGGTAGGGCTTGCAGAATTGGCCAAGTCATTTCTTCTGTTTTTTCCTCAAAAACAGTTTTAGACTTTGAAACTTTTGTGCGTTTTGGCATCATTCAGCTTCCACTGCTCCTGATTCCTTATTAAGAAACTCAGCCCTTAATGAGCTTGCTGTTCCTTCATTTAAATCTCGCTTCATTTGATAACTCTGTTGCTTCTAGGATGGTTGGTACAGGCTTGTGTGGGCTTCCATAACACAAAAGCCAGATGGATTTTTTAAAACAGATAAATTTAGTCATGAATAGAGAACTGTGAATTTTTTTTTTAAAGAAAAAAAAAAAAAAAACCTTAAAAAAAACACACAAAACAAAACAAAAATCTTGGTACTGATAAAAACCAGTGAGACATCACAGATTCTCAAATTAAGGGAAAAAACAAAACTTTTCCATCTCCTCCCCCATCCTCCTCCTCCTACTTTTTAATTTGTTTTGGGCTCAAGAATTGAAAAGTTCTGTTCCCAATTAAAAATGGACCACATTTGGGTCTGAGAGGGAGTTAGCTGCCTCATGATATGAGTAGAAGACAGAAAGCTGTTGTCAGATTCAGGTCCTTTGATAACCAACACCACTTTCTCTGTGTGCTAATTTGCAGAACAAGGAAAATATTGGCATGCTGCCTTTAGAATCCCTCGGAAGAAAAGCATTAGGAATAGGAAAACATAAAAATTCTGTCCAAAGTATACATCTTATGTAACAAATTTATTGGGGAGTCTCAACATGTTATGGATATAAAAATGAAACAGTTTTATCCTTATCCAATAACAGCTCCTTCCACTAGAATATGTTGACCCACCTTTCCGGATGGGAAGGAGCTCCTTTAAGAGAAAGTTGGCCAGCTCCTCCAACTTGCCTGTCACTTTTGGTTATTAGAACAGTCCATTTGTTATGTAAGACTCAGCCGTATTTATTTACTTCAGTCTTAAATCAGACTCAAAGCTGTGTCCTCTCTCTCCCCTGTGGTGTTTTCTCTCTTCCACTTCATGGCTCCAGTGGCTTGAAGGTTGGTGGTCTGTTCTTCATGTGTTTCCCTCCTTTCTCCTCTCTTTGAACTCCTTCTTTTAGACTTTACAATCCCCCAGGGCCACGCTGGCCCATCGTGGCTGGTCAGCGAGGAAGGAGCAGATGGACTAGAGTGTGTGGTGTCAGGAAGTTGGACTGGTCCAGCTCTCCTTTGGTCCTTCTTATGTTGGTGTTCTCAGTTTCTATGTCAGCCCCCGTGTAGGTGGCAAATAGAAATGTGTGTGTATGTGTGTTTGTGTTCGGGGGTAGCATTCAGTTCAGCTTTACCCCTACTCCCTCCGT